GGGGGGGAGGGGGGGGGGGGGGAGGAGGAGGAGGAGGAGGAGGAGGAGGGGTGAGGAAGGGTCCCGCTCGTTCATGGTCGTCTTACTTTCTTCCAATTTTTTGTTCGCGTTCGCGAATATTATTAACATCCAAAGAGCCCTCGGAATCGATAATCGAGCATCGAGCATTTTCGGTTCGAACTCACCCCGGGCATGATCTTGCATTCGACGTCCCGCATTATGGCGTCCCAAGACTCTCCCTTCGCCGGCGCCTCTTTTGGCAGCAGAGGCCTCAGATAGCCCGGGTCCACGTTCGCCGTCACCCTCTTGCCCTCGAGGGTGCGCAGGTACTCGCAGATGTACTCGATCATCTGCTTGCCGCGTACTTGGAACTCATCGATGTTCATGGTAGCTGCAGTGGCCGCCGCGTCGGCTGCAATGGAATTCGTCAGAGAACTATCGCGTAGAATCGAAAGCCGATTGGGCACGTCCACGGTACGTGTCCGCGACCATTTTTCACCGCCCAGCAAATTTTCATTTATCGGCGCGCGGAATTGAGCGAGCGTCATCGGACGATATCGCTCGAAAATATCTGAGGAGGCGGGCCGAATTTGAACCACCCTAATCGATAACCGCGGCTAATCGGATCGGAGACGTCGACGGCTTTCGAAAGCGAGAGACAGATACGAACCGGAGAATCGTTCGATATACTCTTTCGACGGAATTTGGTAGACGCTCGCTTCGGTGGCACTTTCACAGCGAATCGCGCGCGGACACTCGATTTTCTGCCGAGTCTCCGAGTCCGATATATCGGTGCAACGTACAATTCGACGGAGCGCGTTCGCGATGGAATCGAATGGAAGTTTTATTCCGCGTACGTATAGAATTCGGGCTTCGGTCGCGCGAGCTTCGAGAACTCGAGGGTGGGGGGGGGGGGCCTGTTTTTTTCGAAAGATTGCGTATCGTTTTCAACTCACTGGTCTGTACTACCGAAAGGAAAACCGATCCACTGCGACGGTACCCGGGGGCTCTCTCCCGCGAACCGACCACGTCCTCGCGCGATCGTCGATTGGTTCGACGCGAGCGTCGGTCGGTCGGCTCTCGAACAACCGCGTAACAGGTTTGTCCCGCGTTGGAGCCGAGACTGGTAGCACCTGCCAAAGCGCCGGTCAGTTTTATTGCGCGCCTCCGCTTCGTACATCCCTGCCTTACGCAGATCAAATTAAGGCGGAGCTTCGGCGATCGCGAGCATTTTTCATTTACCTAATTCGCATGGTTCGCCGCCGAGAGCCGTCCGTTGTACGCGATTAGAGCCGAAAGGGCTTTCGAAGCGATTTCGCCCGTCTCCGTTCAAAATCTTCCGTCCGCGTCTCCTCGCCACCCTCGCCGCCCTCGTCGCCCTCGACGCCTCGCCACCTAGCCACCTAGCCGCCTCGCCTCCGCTTCGGTCCCGATCTATTCTCGTCGGACGGTGCACGTGCGATCTCACGTTCTTTTTCTAAACTTTGATCAACTCGCTGCATAAACAAAGAAAAATTAGCATCTTCCGCCCTTCGGTTTCTTCGTTTTAAGAACGATTTCTCTCTCTCTCTCTCTCTCTCTCTCTCTCTCTCTCTCTCTCTCTCTCTTTCTCTCTGGTCGATCGTCGAGGAACGAGTCGTCCATGGCGAGAACGCGTTCCTCGAATTCCGTCGAATTTCGAGGCGGGGCACGATTCTTCTCGCAATGAATTTTCTAATTTTCTCGAGTTATCGGTCGCTTTCACGGGAAACCTACATCGTTCGCGCTGCGCTGGCCGGGCTCGCCCCTATCGATCCCCATCGGTGTGCTATTTTAACTTGGAAAAAATCGATCGGTCCGCGCGGCGTGCGTCGCGGATCGATCTCGAAAAAATTCTGAACGAAAAATTTCGCGGAGAACGGTGACACCGGGGTGCATCAATGGCAACGCGTTCGCGGCGGCCTGTTGTCGATCTTCCACGGGGAGTAAACTCTACCCCCTCTCTCGCCCGCTCCCTGCGCCCCGGCTCTATAAATAGACGTTTACTCTTCACCTACATTTACAACACCCCGTAGAGAGAAGCGGTGACAGGTCACCGGTCAATCTTTGTAACACACACGTGGGAACCGGGCGCGATCCCCGTTTTCTCTCGTCACCACCTTCACGCATCGTCTCCTCGCGACCGTAGTTTTCGAATTGGATTCTCAATCGAGCCTGTCCGGGGAGATCGCTACCCCCCCCCCCCCCCCGGGGGGGGGGGCTCAAATCAATTAATCCCAACACCCGTCTCCCCTACGTTAGAAAGTCCTCCCTCGCCGTTGGCACTCGTCGTGCCAAGTACGACTCGGATTTCAACCGTCGTATCGCGACGACGAACACTTTTCCGATCGGCAATTTCTGTACTTTACGCGGAAGTTGCGACACGCGGTAGTTACGGTTGGCTTACGAAACCTCGTTGCCCGTTCATCGTATTTGAAAACTTCCGAAGACGTCGTCATCGTTCGACGATTTCGGTGAAAATCGTGCGATAAAAACGTGTAGCAGAAACGAATTCTTCTCGCGGTCGGTCCACTTGCTAATAAAGGAACGTAAGCGAATGAAAATCTGTACGAACGATCCACACGGCCCGGTTGCGCGTCGTTGCGCGTTCAAATGTTTTATTCGAACGATTCGGGAAACCGCAACCCGAAGGAACAAGTTCGAAATCGAAAGAACACCGATCAAGAGAAGGGAAGGAAAGGAGAGGAAAGGAAAGCCGGGTGTTACACGGTAATAGTATTTTTATTGAACTTTCCGATTCGCATAGCATGTCGACGGTTTCGGATCATCGAGAACCCAACCGATAGCGCCAGAATCACTGGGGAGGAGGTCGGAGCGAAGCGTCTTCCAATTACGTTGAGCACTTTGTTGGTCGCGGGGCAGAGGTGCGAACGCTCGAATCGGATCCTCCGATTCGCGTTCCTCTTACTCGAGACTCGCGTTGGACGATCGATCCGATCGGCCGATGATCGACCGCGGGTTATTCGTCGAGCTCGGAGCTCGATCGATCAACATTCCCCGCGTTCGATTCCGCGCGGCACGATTGCGTCCGCGTTTTCGCTTGACGTAGCACCTGGCGGATCGCGTAATCGCGTCGCGACGATTCGAGGGAATTTTTTGCCGAGACACGAATCGTCACGGAGAGCCGGGGATCGCCGTGTCGCGCCGAGTTTCGGAGAAGGAAAGATCACGAGCCGGCGGACGACGTCCGGGTGCACCGGATTCTCTGCTCGGATCGGGTCGCCGCGCAGCCGACCTTTTCGATCGCCGTTTCGCGCGCGTCCGTCTCTACTTTCCGACCTCTTCTTTTCTCTCTCTCTCTCTCTCTCTCTCTCTCTCTCTCTCTCTCTCTCCTTCTTCGCGTCTCCTTTCGTAAACCACCGCCGAAGAGCGATCGGTCGATCGCTGCACGATCGTCTCTCGTCGCGAGTCGAACGGAGCGCGTTTACTACGATATTATAGGCATACCAAACGGATCGATAAGCGAGCAAAGAAGGATGCGCTAGTATTTATCGAGCGTCGCAGGCCTCGCCGGGCTTCGGCTCCGAAAATGATCGGAGATCGACCATCGACGATCGATGGACGTCCGTTAGTTTTCGATCCGAAGTTGGACCGATCCTCGACCCCGGAGGACGTCGCTCGATCTTTACGCTAACGCTACGATCAACGAAGATTACGGGATCTCCGAGGAAAGGAGAATTTCCGCGGTACTGGAAAATCTTTTCCGGGAACAGCGTTCGTTCCGGCGGGATCTCGAGAATCGCGACCGGTCGATGCACCTGGAGACCCGTCCGAAAACGGAGGCACACCGCTCGGGAACGATTTACGTTCTCCCGTTCGGCGACCTTCCGCGCGACGGCGAACCGGACGGCGAGGGCTCCGGGCTGCAACCGTTGCTGCTGCCGCGGCGACTTCCGGTGCTGCCTGCCTTCAGCCGCACCATCGTGTCCAGGTGACGGAATCTGAAACGGAAGATCGTCGGCTTCGTCGAGCTTTTCGGCCCTGGCAAAGTGCGAGAAGAGGCCCGCGAAAGAGGCGTTCTTCCGTTCGAGAGGCCGAGATGCCCAAATACCTGAGGGACAATTCGCTGGTATCGGCGGCGTCCTTCGCCTGCATGAGGTAGGCCAGTGGCCAGGATATCCAGGACCGTCTGAAAACAGCGTTAGCGATTTCGAACGTTGAAATTAAAGGTCCGGTCGAAAAGATCGATCCGAAGACTCTCTCGAAATATCTTACGAGGTGGAATGAGGATTCGAGCCGATGCCGCCGATCGTCGCTTGCGCGTCGAGCTTCGCTCCGGTTCTGTTCGGCGTTTTGGTGAATCCCGGTTGGATCGCAGGATCGGACACCATGCGAACGAAGAAGGACCTTCTCTGCTCCAGAGTGGCTTTCCTCTTCTTCTCGCGGATGTCCGCCAGCTCGTCCATAACGTCCTGCAACGTTATCGTAATCGATCAGAAGCGTCGGCGCGTCGGTATATTTCGTTATATTAATTTCGCTTGCCTTCAACTCGAGCAACTCGGTCAGATAATCGGTTATGATGCTCCAGGCGATGTCTACGGCAAGAAAATCGAGCGTTGAGTCGCGCGCGCGCGCGCGATTAATCGAGAAACGGGAACGAGAAATTGTAATACCGACCGACGTCGGAAGCGGTGGCATTCGGCGCGGCGAGCGCGAAGCGGATCGTGAAGCGTTGGTTGACTCGCGCCGGGACCATGTGCAGCTTCCCCGAGTCGTTTATCGTGCTCAGCAGCTTCTGGTTCAGCTTGTCGTTGCCCTTGGCCCGAAAGCACACCAATCCCAACTGTAACGACGCGCACGGTGCACACCGTGTAGAGAGTACGCTCGTTGGAAATTTGAACGGACAACGTTCGACGCGTCGGAGAAGATCGATGAACCACCGTGATCGATACTCACCACCACTTCGTTGCACACCTCGAACCTCGAGTCCTTTTTGACCAGCGCCTCGAACCTTTTCGCCAACTGAATATGATTGCGGATGTAGGCCTGTAATCCAGATATTCCGTAGCTTCTCAGGACGAACCACAGCTTCAGGGAGCGAAATCGTCGGCTCAGAGGTATGCTCCAGTGCCTGGAAAAGATAGCGGAGCAAACGTTTTCGAGGATCGGTCGGTCGACCTCGTCCGCTTCTCGATCGGTTCGCGGCTCCTCCCTCGAAAGGAAGGAAAGAAGAGCGTCCGTCGCGCCGCGACGAATCCGAAACGACCGGAACGAGAGAAAAGCGGCGGGCGAAACGCGTCGATTTCACCTGTAATCGATGGCCGTGTCGGCGTGAGTGTGCTGAAGATAGAGCGGATCGACGACGAGCGCGCTGGTCAGCTTGAACCTGTCCCTCACCCACAGGCAAGAGCAGTCGAAGTTCGTCAACAGGAACTTGTTGGTGTTCGTGTTGAAGGAGTCCGTGTACTCGATACCGGCCATCAGATGCTTCAATTCCGGGCAAATGAAAGCGTTGCCGGCGTACGCCGCGTCCACGTGCAACCAGACCTGAGGAAACGAAACGAAACGAAAGGTAACGTAAAGGCGCGAGATCTCGCGAGTCGTATAAATATACGCGGATTAGCCGATCGTCTTTTACGCCGTGGTATTTCTTGCAAACTGGTCCGATCTCCTTGAGATTGTCGAAGGAGCAGCAGGCCGTGGTACCGAGGGTGGTGGAGACGAAGAAGGGGATGTATCCCTCGGCGGTGTCGGCCTCGATTGCCTATTAAAACAACGGAATTGGAACGATCAGCGTTAACGAAGGCGATCGGATCGCCGAAGAGAAGAGGAGAGAAGAGACGGGGGCGCGCGCGAGGGAACTTGCCGAAAAAAATTCGACGAATCGAATTATCGCGCATCTCGATGGCGAGCAGCGATTTCTTACCTGTCGCAAGGTTTCGCCTCGAAGCACGCTCTTCTCGTCGGGCTCGAGGATCCGGAGCTTCACGAAGCAGATCATCGCGTCCTTCTCGACGCTGCTGTGGCTCTCTCGGCTGCAGTAGGCCATCAGCTTGCCCAAAAGCGCGGTTTCGTCCAAGTGCGAGTGAGCCGGCGACTCCTTGAGCCTCGCGATCGCTTGCGCCCTGGCTGCCAGCATGCACACCAAGATGCACTCCGAGGCCGAGCCCTGACAACATTCGGGTCACAACTTCTCTCGTCGCGCAAAGAACGAGATCGTTTCGGGATCATGGTCGAGAAGAGAGAGAGATAGAGAGATAGAGAGATAGTACCTGTATCACGCCTCCTCCCTTGCTACCCGGGCTAAAGTAGAGGAAGTCCGACGGCAGACCGATAGCCTTGCCTACGATTTTATTTTGCAAAATGTCTCGATCGTGTCCGACGAGCGTTTCTCCGCTCTCTAGAGACCGGCTGCTCTATCATAGGCTATCCCAAAAGTTTGCTCTTGTTCGGTTTTGCTGCATACGAGCGCGAGCATCGCGATCGTTTTTACCTCGTTAGAAACCGAGCGTGCAACGTCGGTGCTTTCCGAGTCTTCGGACATTTTCTACTTCCGTCGCGTTTCTTTCTTCTCTTCGAAACTTCGAAAAACTCTATTCTCTGTATCGCGACCGAACGGACGAGCGTGGATCGCGGCCGGTCGGGACAACCGAACGGCCGGCCGAGCTTTTGGGAGAACCTGATGGAAGAGCGCGTTTTCATTACCGAACCAATCGCAGACTATCGTCTCCAGTTCCGTGCAGGCTGGACTGGCCGCCTAGAACAAACAGAGGGACGAGACCCGGTGGCGATCGAGCAAATAGTTACCGATCGATCCGTCAACCTTCTCTGACGCGGGCTCCCTCGAATCTCCGACTCGAGAAGCGAACGATCAAGAGCGCAGACATATTCGGCTCACCCATGAGAATCCGATGCAGCCTATCGCGTCGGACAACATGTCGCCGAGGATCGAGGGGAACGAGTTTCCGGCCGGGAAATAAGCGTGAAACCTCGGGTGTTGCCAGTGGGTGATCTAGAAAAACGATTCCTCGAGTTCGAGTCCGTCGAACGAGAGATTACGAATCCGGGGAGGGAGCAGCGCGGCGAATCCAGTGTGGTGCACGAGCAAGAGACCGCAGCTCGAAATCGTTAATTGTAACGGAATCGTGCTGCCAATTTCTCTCGTCTCGTTTCACGTTCGCTGGTTCGCGCACCATAATTCTTGCGGCTTCGACGGGAAGCCGGAAAACCGGGAAAACAGGAACGACGGGAGAGCGGGAGAGCGTAAGCGGCAAAAGGTCTGTTCGAAATAGCAGAAACGTTGCCTTACCCCGGGCATGATCTTCGACTCGATGTCCCTCATGATGTCCTCCCAAGGCTCCGGCTGTTGCGGCGCCTCCAGAGGCAGAAGAGGTCTCAGATAGCCTGGCCCTACATCCGGCGTCACCCTCCGATTGTGGATGTTGCTCATGAACTCGCAGATGTACTCCACCATCTCCTTGCCGCGCACACGGAACTCTTGGATGTCCATCTTCTCGGGATTCGCTGTTCGAGGGTCGGGGGCGCGATCGGACACGGATTCGGACGCGGATCGATCGATGCTCCGAGGGAAGAGATCGCGAGACTGCCTCGGCACCGATCTCTGTCGGAGAATGTCGCGTGCTCACTTTACTCTCGCGACGCGAACCAGCCGATGTTCACAGAGAAAGAGGAAGAGGAGAGAGAGAGAGAGAGAGAGAGAGAGAGAGAGAGAGAGAGAGTTCACGATATCGTTCCCACGAAAGACGGTCGAATCTGTTGACCGATGTTCCTGTTTCCGGCTGCTGGGAAGAGACCGTTGCTTGAAGAGATCGTTGGCTGTTCCCTCCGGGGCGGTAAGCCTTCGCGTTCGCAGCGATATCTTGGTCCCCGCGCGGCGAACGACGTCCTACCTGTTGCTAGTCGGAGCGTCGAGGATGTTGGACTGCGTCCATTAGCGTCCACGTCGGATGAGCCACCGCCGAGCAATCCCGAGTTCCGCCAACCACCGTGGATATATCGAGGATCCAGCCAGCGAAAAGTCCTCCCGTCGTGCGCAAACGCATCCTTCCGCGGCGATCTTCTTCGCGAGTCCTCGAGCAAAGGACGCGAGGGCGGCGAAGAGGGTGAAGAACGGGGGTAGAAACCGGAACGGAGAAAGGCGAGAAGCGAGAACGGATATCTATCTGTGCTCCAGGACAATTTCCGTCGAGGGGATGCTCGAAATAGACACATGGGAACCCGTCGCCCGGCCGCCCTCCGCCGCCGCAGCCGTCGCCGCTGCCGCCACCGCCGCCGTCTCCGCCGTCGCCGCCGCCGCCGCATGCTCCTTCTTAATCATTTTTACGAGTCTTCCCGACGAAGAGCTTACGAGCTCGCGACGAAAACGTTGAAAACGGCGTGTCGCTTCCGGAAGGCGAAACGTTCGCTTCGAACGGTCCGCTCGGCCCATTTACATCGGCCGCCGTGGCCTCGCCGCGCCGCTCGGGGAATGCTCTCTTATCGAAACGACGCGCGACCTACGCGAAAGAGAGTCGTCCGGTCGACCTGGACGAAGGTGGACGGAGGTGGAAAAGGGGTCGAAAGTTCCCGCGAGGAGAAATCTCATTCCACGGGGGGCCGATAGACGCGGAAGCATGCATAGAACCGTCCGGACGAATCGACTGGCTCGGTCGCGGGGAAAACTTCTCGAAACGCTGTTCCGGCTCGTTCATTCGCGACCGAGTCGTCGAGCTTGTCGTCGAGCATCTTCGCCGCGGAAGAAGAGTCGGCCACTCGAATAAATTGGAAACCGGTGTTCTCGGGGTGGAGCGGGCGCGGGCACGCGATGGTTTATTACGGTGGGAAAGGAACGCGTAGGCATCGTTAAGAAGGTGTCAGACGCAGAATGTCCCGAGCTTCTCGCCGGTTGCTCGAGGATCGTGTCGCGCACCGAAACTGCTCGAAAATCCTTGACCTTTTCGCCCAGGTTTTTACAGAATCCACGGTGCTTGAACGGCGCATCGATTCCTCGACCCCGATTGCTCGTTCCCGATCGCGACCGCGAACAAATTCGATTGCTCCGCGGGGGGGGGGGGGG